CTTACCATATCCTTAAGCGTTCTGTTTCGTCTTTCAGCAACACCATTCATAGTGGGCGAACCCGGCATAGTGTACTGTGGGACGATACCGCATTCCTCTAGAAATTTAGCAAACAGTCCTGGACGTTGTTCACCTGAACCATCATATCTACCGTAGTATTCACCACCACGATCAAATCTAACAGTTTTAATCATTTTGTTGAGTTGATTCACAACTTCAGCCTTATAGGATTTGAACACGTCCAATGACTGTGATTTTTCATGAATGAGATATATGAAGCCATATCTTGAATAATCGTCTATGAACGTTATAAAATATTGTTGACATTCCAAGCAACTATTGGAAATAGCCCACAAATGTCTGTATGTATAAGTTCTAAGAGGTTTGAAGTCCTATTGGCTTCAAATCTCCTTTTATTGGTTTGTTTTCCCTTAATACAGTTGACACAAATGTCAAAATCTGCAAAGTCTAAGGGGTCGAGAATTTCGTCGGACACAAGTCTCTATATTCTATGTTTGGAGATATGACCTAATCTCTTGTGCCACAACGCAACTGAATTCTCATCGGTTAATTTTCTTTTCACACCACGTGTATTTAAAAGCAGAGATTCATTGAATGAAGCAATAGTATCCAGTAAATAAAGATTATCATAACCTGATAAAGAACCAGAACCAACCAATTTTGAATCATGAAACAAACTGAATTTTCCACTTCCAAATGAACAAGAATAACCAAATTTGTCCAAAACAGAAATAGAAATCAAATTTCGTCTAAAAGAGGGAACAAAAAATGTCTCATCAAGATCCAAATATATCCTGTCTTTAACAATAATCTAAATTTTCCAATTGCTTCAACTTCAACTGTCTTGCCGTCACCCACATAGATGTATCTTTCACCATCACTTGGTTTTCGGCAATGGTGGCAACCCTGCATGGACACACTGATGTGAGTTGTGGCACCAGAATCTATCCACCACGTGTGTCCAGGAACCAAAGTTAAATTAACCTCAGAACAAACCAAATTAAACAGCATACCTTTCTTAGCACGCCAAGTGTGGTAGTTGACACATTGCTTCTTTGTATGCCCTTCAACCTTACAAAAGAAACAACCTGAAGTGGTGTCAGAATTGACACCATTAGACACACTAGGTGCCGCTTGTTGTTTCTTTTGTGGGACTGTATTTGCAGCTTCCTTATCCTTATTTCTCTTTATTCCCTTGCCCTTATTTTTGGAAGTATAGGCAATATTAGAGCTTTCTGTCTTATCTTGCTTCAACCTTTCCTCTTCTTGGACGCAGTATGAGATGAGCTCATTCAGAGACCAAGTCTCCTTCTGACAGTTATAGCTCACCTTAAACTGGTTAAATTGTCCAGGAAGAGATAACAAAACCAAATGCACTAGCAATCCCTCAGAGAGTTCAAGCTTAAGTGCCCTTAATTTTGAAGCAGTATGAGACATCTCCATAATGTATTCCCTAATATTACCTTTACCACCATACCTTTAATTTTGAAGCAGTATGAAACATCTCCATAATGTATTCCCTAATATTACCTTTACCACCATACCTCATTGAGATAAGATTTGCCAAAAGCGTACCAATTTCAGCCTTTTCGTTCTTGACAAACCTTTTCTCAATATCTGCAAGGAATTCCTTAGCAGTAATGATATTTTCAGACATAGTGCCCCTGAATGCTTCCGGAATGGCTTTTTTTATGATCATCATACACATGCGATTCGATTTCTCCCACCTTTCAAAGTCCCTCTTTTCATCCAAAGTACTGTTGTCCGTAAGAGGAGGTGGAGAATCAGTCCTTATCGCAAGGTCGAGATCCATGACACCGAGAACTATTAAAAGATTCTCTTGCCATGCCTTAAAGTTTGAGCCATTTAGCATATGAATAGAGTTGATGCTGGCAGTGATATTAGCAGAAGTAGACATAGCTGAATCCAAGAAAAATAAACTGATCATGCTCATGAAAAATACTTAGAATTAAAATGATAAATTCAAATAAAGGTAACCCCATCTCAAGACATCGCAACTCCATTAATATTTTATCTTTGGACAAAATATTAACTTGTAATTGACATTTTGATGCAGTAATCAAACATTGATAATAAGAACATATCAAACAATAAATCTTCCTTTAGGCCGACTTATTGTTCACATGTATAACCAAATAATCATCACACGTTTATTACCGCAATTGCACAAGTAATTCTAATGAGTACTCCCCTTCCTTTGGGCCGGTTAATACTCACTCAAATTACATGTACCCATATCTTTTTATATTTCAAAACAAAATAATTTCCACAAAAGAGGTTGCTTTGGCGACATGTTGCTTCAATTACTTTATCTCAAAATATATAAAACTTTATACCAATATTCAATTCCAAAATTTAAAAAATTCTAAGACCGAAAAATAGACTTAAGGGTTTAATCTTTAGTTCAAATAACAGGTCCATGCAAATAATCACATGCTCAGAGGCCACAACATGAAATCAAATAATTCATGTTCCAAAATCATATTATTAACAACTTAATTCCAAAATAATATGTTGAATCAATAAGACCCAAATTCTTGATTTCACAGCAAATGGCACAAAACTCAACAACTAAACATGTTAATTCTCAAAATTAATACCCATCAATCATCATAAACATGGCAATGAGATTTCAAATAAATTGAAACCAACATACAATCTTGAGACGTGGCAGGAAATTATGCTTACAATTCAAACAATTAATTGAACCATGAAACCAAATCACGCAACTCATATTCTGAGCAAATAAATCATGGTCATGCTGTGAACTTATATCCAATCAATTCAATATTCGAAATCCACAAAATTCCTCTTCTTAATTTCGCGCAATCAGATAATTGGGAGAAGGAGTTGCTGATGGGATTGAGAAAATGGTTGGGACATGGGATCACACAAGGCTGGGAACAAGTGAAGCTTGTGCTGCAGGATAAGAAAATGATTACAAGATTGTTGGCCATGGATGCATTTCCTGAAAATTTGCAAGTAGTGGTAGCTGACATTGTAGTATTATTTTCTAGATTAGTATATTAGTTAATGTTTTGTGTTGGTATTATTTTGACCGATGTGGTCTTGCAGGGGGCCTAATATTAGTGTTCCCCAGGTGTGTTTTTGTATGGCCAATGGGCTGGTTTTGTTGTATGTCAACCAATTGGTTGTGTAAACTCTTGTTAATATTGGTAATATATATAATAGGTTGTTATTGGGAAAAAAAAAAAAAATTGGCGCAATCACCCGAATTCAAGATAAACCAGAATAATCAATTTTGCACTTTTTGAGAAACTGTATGCAATATACATTGAAGGTTCACAAATCCGAACAACATCAATCCCGCATAAATAAATTATCACGCGAATCGAAATAAATGGATCACCGTATGAATCAAATAAATTACAATTGATTCCCAAAATCCAATACAAAAGGCTCGGATACCACTTGTTAGAATTAAATTTAGGCGAAAACCATCGCTTTAATCCAGGAGCTTTCGTATTGAATAATTGAGAATCGAAACTAAATAGCGGAAGCGTACCTGAATCCATAGGTGATTGATTTGGGAATTTGGCCTTCTAGGTCTATACGATCTTGTACTTGTCAGAGAACCCTTTTACTTTCTCTGTAACCTCTCTGTCGATGGGATGCAGAAGAGTTGTAACCTCTCTGTCGATGGGATGCAGAAGAGTTGTGATATCGATACGTATGACCTAGGGACCACAACCCTTTATTAACTTACATTGGGCATCTCTATTTTAGCCCATCATTAAAATAGAGAAGACCCATTAGTTTCTACACATTAAAGGCCCACACCCTATTGATACTTTAAAGCCCAATAACTTTAAAACTTAATTGATCACTTTTATTTTGGGCTTCTTTATTTGACAACCACAATACAATAATTATTTCACATATCAGCCCAATGTTGGATTAAGGATCCAACACAAAGGTGCAGAGAAAAATACACTAAATACAACATCCAAAAAAAGAAAGAAAAGAAAGAGAAAAAGGGTGTGAGCAAGAAACAAGAATTTTAGTTTGTGTGTATTTGATTGTGAGTTGTGAGCGAGTTTGAGAGTGTCTGTAAATACGAGTGTATTTCTTTTCTCCTAATAAAATATCTGCAGTAGTCTGGAGACGTAGGCATTGTTGGCCGAACTCCGTTATCAATTTGGCGTGTCCAATTTTTCGCTTTTATTTCACTTTTACATATCTGACTTCATGGAAAATTTAGCGTATTTTTCTTAATAATAGTGTGGTTTTATCACTGCTGGAAGATCGAGTATAGATTTTTTCATAATTAATTACCATTTAAAAAAAGGTGTTGTTGGGGATCTAAGAGAGGCCCATAAGGCACAAGTTTAGCAGAAAAATAATTGTTGAGTTAATTAACATTTATTCTCAGTTTTCACTTTGTGATTAGTACTGGGATGATTATGTGTTAGGTTCCCACTTCAAATGTGATGAGAAAAATCGTTTTCTCGCTTTCAATGTTTTTCTTTCATGAGAAAAAAAAAATGTATATCTACGTTTTTACATTGATAAGTATAAGTGTATAACAATGTTTTTTTCACTAACATGAAATTAGTGAAAGTTAATTACAAATGTCGGACGTGGTATTAATTTGGTTAGTATTCAGTATATCAGAAAACTCGGCAAATGTAACTGCCAATTGAAATGATCAAGACTAATGATTGTGGCTAAATATTTTTCTCGAGGAATAAATTAATAAAGAATGAAAGAGAGACACTTTCATTATTTAGTTTATATTGATTTAAATTTCTTGTTCTTGTTGAAAATGGAAGGGGAATGTTAGATTTGTTGTATTGGACTTCTAATTTCTCACGATTATATGCTAAACAAATACATTAATTGATTGTAGTTCTTAGCACATTCGAAAAGTAATATAAATAATTAGTCTTAAAAACATATATAAACATGTAACCAAACGGTTCAGTTGAAGTTGCCACCTACCTACTGTTATATTGGAGAAGATGGCCACTTCATATAAGATTCTACAGTAAAGTCTCATAGTATTTTTTTTCCCTTGTCAATTTGTTGTATACCTTTTTAAAGTGAGACGGGTTTAATACTTCCATAAAGTGGCAGACTGGCACTCCCATTTTTCCTCACAATTACATATATATCCTCTGTATGGTTTTCTATGAAATTCAAATGAATGGAGAGATTTTGACTTCTGATTTGATATATTCTTCTTCAGCTCCCTAAAGTTTCCAACTGTAAGTCTCACTTTCTTGATTTCATCTTTTGTTTTGTTCTTTTTGTGTTTTCATTCTTGGGCGTTGACTAGAATTAGCTTCATGACATGATCTGGGATTAGAGGTTTGACTATGAATCTGGATTAGTAGTTAGCAGTAGATTAACCATTTGATCTGTTGCTTTAATAGATTTAGCTGTGATCACTCATTTCAAATTTGGATTAAGTTAGAGGATAGCTTGAATTGGCGGCGTGTTGAATGTTAGTTCATTTGAAACCAGTCCCCATTTCTATGTAAACACTGTAATTGTTCGTTTTTAGAAGGCACTTCTTTTGTGTTATGTTGTTTGAGGTAAAACTCGAAAGCAATCTAGAAATAGAGTCATCTTTTTTTCNGTTTTTCTCGCTGACTCCAATGTCGGTAATACTTGCTTCTCACAGCAAGTGTTGCCTTGTAGAAGAAATAATAATAAATCACAAAAAACCAAGAAATAATCTTTCCTTTTCGGGTTCACTAGTATATCGCAATAACTCGGTCAAAGCCAAGAAACCCCTCAAATTCAGAGTCAAAGCTCAAGACAGAAAATTACTAAGTAGGCATGGCAAGGTTATTGAGATGGTACCCACACCAGAAATCCGAGAAAGAATGGAACTTTGTAGAACTTCATCGAGGCTCGTAAGCATCAATGGGGTTAACGTAATTAAAGAAGTCGGACTGGTCAAGAAAGACCCTCCAAATTTGCCGGGGCTCAAAGAGATTCCGATTGTTTTACCTGCCGATGATAAGGGCTTCAGCTGGGCCAATGAGAATTATAACTCGGTTCAAAGAAGTATCGACGTGTGGTCCTCAGTAATTTCCCTTCGTGTGCGTATTTTTTTGGACACCACAAAGTGGACCTACATTGGAGGCTTCACTCAGGACAAGCAGGTTAATGAGGCTTCCTCACTCATTTTCTTGCTTAATTTTATATATGTTACGAGCTTTACTTAATTGTCAGATAGAGAGAAGACGAAAAACGGGTTCATGGTTAATGAAGCGTGCGTTGCAGCTTGGTCCCACATTTATCAAACTGGGGCAGTTAGTTTCGTCAAGGTCCGATATATTTCCTAAAGAATACGTAGACGAGCTTGCAAAACTGCAGGTATAAATAAATATAATAAAACGCAGAGGGGCCAAAATGCTTTGATTGTTGATAAACAATTTACCAAATTTTGACTTAGGACAAAGTACCTGCATTCTCGATGACGAAAGCGATTAGCTTTGTTGAAAGTGAATTGGGTGCTTCGATCGATGTGTTGTTTAAAGAGTTTGAAGGACTACCCATTGCAGCTGCTAGTCTTGGTCAGGTGTTTGCTCTCGTTTTATTCTTTTCGCCTCTCTCATTCTTCTTTGGAAAAGAAGTCATCAATGTCTATAGAGTATTGCCTATTATCATTTTTTTTTTCATAAATATTTTTTAGGTTCACAGGGCAATCTTGCATAGCGGAGAGAAAGTAGTGGTGAAAGTACAACGGCCGGGACTGAAGAAACTGTTCGACATCGATCTTCGTAACAAATAACTGCCCTTTTTGAAAATTCATATATATTTCACTATTTTCTTTTAACACTTTCTTTTGTTCAGGAAATCTGAAGCTAATTACTGAATACTTCCAAAGAAGTGAAACTCTAGGGGGTCCCTCGAGGGACTGGATTGGATTATACGAAGAATGTTCCAAGTAAGTGTTACATGAAAATTTAATTAATGTGATTGGCAATATCTGTGAACAGACGGATACCCTTAAGAAAGATAGAAAAGCAATCAACTTCGGTGGTGATTTTTTTGAAGATTTTAAAATAAAACATAGCAAATTGCGTTTATAGGGACACATTTCTTAATGGGATTCTTAAGTCTTGTGTTTATTATGGGGACACTAGGATACTGTATCAAGAAATCGATTATGTAAATGAAGCAAAGAATGCTGATAGGTTTCGACGGGAGTTTCGGAATATAAAGTGGGTCCGTGTACCTGTACGTTTTCCCCTCTCTTTCTTGGCTTAATCTTTTTTTAATATGTTTTTAAATGACTTTATTTTGTTAAGAATTCGAAATGGAACACTCCTCCAGCTTTCTCTGCACAATTGCTTGGTATAAAAATGGAGCTATTTGATGCTCTCCTCTTAATCAACAAATCTTTTTCCTTCTAATCTTCTTTCTCTGAAAAAGGTTTGATTTGATTCATTATATGACATTGTTATCTATTTCCTTATTATAGTTAACTTGTTTGTAATAATGTTAGATGGTCTACTGGGATTATACAGCAATGAAGGTGCTAACGCTGGAGTATGTTCCGGGTATTGCTCGATTTGTATCTTTTTTGCATAGTATGTCAATAGATTTGTTTACTGACCATCATTTTAAGGTAAATGCTTTTACTGTATGATTCTCCTTACGATCTTTTGACTTTTTTCTCCAATTTTACGCAGGCATTAAGATAAACCAGCTGGATTTATTAGATAAGAAGGGTTATAATCGATCTAGGATCTCATCACGAGCTGTTGAATCCTTCTTAATCCAGGTTAGTTTTTCGTACTTTTTTTTTTTTTTTCAAATTATAATTTCTTACTGTCTCTCTATATATGAAGCTAAGGACCTCTGGTTACGATTTTGCAGATACTAAGGACAGGTTTTTATCATGCCGATCCTCATCCTGGAAATCTAGCCATAGATGAGGATGAAGCACTTATATTCTACGATTTCGGTATGATGGGAGAAATTAAGAGCTTTACGAGGGATAGGCTTTTAGGACTTTTCTATGCTGTTTATGAAAAGGATGCAAAAAAGGTTATATTCTTTTCGTGAAATTTTATGTTGGTTTGGTATGTTTCTTGACAAAGTATGAACTAAAATTAGAACGGTATTTAATTATGATTTAGACTAAAATTAGCATTATTTTGTCATGATTACCTATTTATTCGTATTTCGCAGGTTGAGTAAAAAGTGAAGTTAACGTAAAATCTCAAATGCTGCAGGTTATGAAAAGACTTGTAGATCTTGGTGCACTTCAGCCCACAGGGGATATGTTATCAGTATGCATGCTTTCGAACTAATAAAGTTGTTCTTTACATTTGCAAATCCAGCATATTATATTAGAAAGAAAAGTTGTTCTTACAGTATAAATAAATCCCTTAGCTGAAACATTTCCTCATTTGTTTAAGGTGAGAAGATCTGTACAGTTTTTCTTGAATAATTTGTTAACTGAAGGACAAAAACAACAGCAGCAAACGTTCACTGCAATTGGCGAGGTATGCAGGAAAAACGAACAATTCATAATGGGGTGGTACTTTTTTATTTTGCATGATGTTATTTATTTTTCTGATCAAATGTTTGTAGGATTTATTTGCCATAGCAATGGATCAGCCATTTCGATTTCCTTCCACTTTCGCGTTTGTAGTCAGGGCATTCTCAACACTCGAAGGTCCTCTCTCTCTCTCTCATTCACAACTTCTTTCATTAGCTTGTTTCATGTGTGCAGCTAAAATACAAAAAATGCTTGATCGAAGCAAATTTTTTCTCTAATTACGATTTCTTGAGACTCCAAAGGGACCTTTTTACCCTTTGATTGTGCTCTCTTGCAGGTATTGGCCACATGCTGAATCCAAAATTTTCGTTCGTTAAAGTTGCTGCCCCATATGCACAGGAACTCCTGGATTTAAGACACGAGCACCAACAGTCTGGGGTGCAAGTCGCTCAAGCAATACGTAAACAAGCTGAAGATGTAACATTTTTAGCTGAAAAAGTTATTATCTTTTTGTATAACAATCAAACGAGTAGTTTCACGCCTTTGGATAAACCTTTTTCAACTTTTATACGTTGTATTTAATTTTGGTTCAGGCAAGATCTAACACCATGTCCATGCCTTACCGAATCCATCGGATAGAAAACGTTGTAAAACAGCTCGAATCCGGAGACCTAAAGCTACGTGTTCGTGTCCTTGAGGTTTAGGTTCATTTTGGTTTAATCTGCACAGAACTCTTTTTTTTTTTTTTTTTATNTTTTTTTTTTTTTTTTATTCACAATATGAATGGAAATTAATGCGAAAAATCTGCATTTCTCAGTCAGAGAGGGCAGCGCGAAAGGCGACTATACTCCATATGGCGACCATTTATACAATCTTGTGGGGCACATTTTTAAACCTTGGGGTGACATTAATCAACCAAAGCAGTCGAGTCATGGCAAACGGCACTTTTGTTGTTGCAGGTCGTTACTTTCTTTGAATGTGCTTTTTTTTTTTCGATGAATAAATCATGTCCTGTAACATTTGTGATATTTGCAGGTGTTTTCTTCGCTCTGCTCGTTCGATCCATGCAGAGAGTGAGGAGGCTCGACAAGTTTGAGAAAATGTTGTGATTTTTTTTTTCTTTTTAGTTACAGAGTAATGTATATTTTTATTCTCCCTTCAAATGATAGATTTATATGTTTAATTTGTTTGTTAAATTTAAAAATATGTGTTATCATCAGTCAAGAATGGTTTGAACTTTGAAGGGATGGAAATAAAGTTGGCTTCAGCTTCATCAACAGATTTTCATTAGTTTGTTCAAAGACTTTCTAGTTTGGCTGCTTTCTAGTATCAGTTCATTTAGTCAAATATTTCACATTCTATAGTTTTGGTTTTACTACAACTAAATAAATATAATTAAAACAATAAGTTTAAGTATATCTGTCTATATAAATTTAATTATCTATTACTCTTAATTATAAAGTGACAAAACATGTATATATCAACTGATTTATAATATGAATTTTACAAGAGTACTAAATTTATAACATAGGAGGAACAAGTTTTATGTGTGACATGTGTTATTGCAAATAAAAATACTAATATATTTTTTTATTTATAATGAAAATTATTATAATACAAAATGGATATATCGTAAAAGAAAAGAGTGTTATTTGAATTTAAATAATAATATATTTTTTTCAAAAGTATTTGAAAACTTAATCCACAAGTATTATATTAGTATGATGATTAAAGGAAATGCGAAATAGTTAGAACATACTATAATACAAATATAACTAGAAATAAAATGAGATGGTAGCTAAATCTTGAGCTTTTAAACAAAACGAGCCATTGAGCTGAATTCGGCTCGACTCACATAATAAGTTAGCCAAGCTGCATTCGCTCGCATAATAGAATTTCTTATATAATATTTTATAACTTTGAATTTTTTTTAAGTTATTAATTGAATGTTAATATATAAATTTCAATGACCTATGATTTTATTTTGTATATGAAATTTATTTAACTGAAATGGGAAAAGTGGGGACGACTGTTGTCGGAATACATTCACATGGACCGTTGACCCCCAAATTCCCAATTCCAAAACCTACTCTTTCATTTTCAGCCTTCGACAGTTTCAATTCTCAGCTCTGCAGATTTTATAGTTGGCCATGGCGGTAAAGTTTCCAACTTTCCTTATCTACCTGTTCTTCTTTCCTTTTTCCCTTTTTCTTTTCCCTTTCTATGTGTGTGTGTGTTCGCATTCATATAATGCATCCATCCATACACATATATCAGCTGATTTTAGATTATTTGTATAATTTTCGGTCGATTAAGTATGTGCAAGGTGCTTCACCTTTCAAGCTAAGCATAGCCTTTCATTTTGTGCGTATATCATTTGGTGCTATTGGTTTCCCTGTGCGAGTAAATTTGGCCTGTGATTTTGGTTCATCTTTTCTTTTGATTGTTGTCATCTATTAATCCACTGCAAATTGAGAATTTTCCCAAGTCCAAATATTTTCTGCAATTAGTATAATGCCTCTAGGCAAACTTTTGCTGCTTCAAGATTCCGTAAAATGTCGCATCATTTAGACCTAGTGAAGATTCTTCTTGTCATATGACCGCTTTGTTTTAGGTGTTGTGTTATTTATCAGCTTGTACAGCAGAAGCATTTTGCAGTTAAACTTTGGATTTCCATGATATTTGTGTTATTTGGTTCCACTTTAACGGTTGCGTTTTCTTAACCTTTTATTACTCCTTGTCTCATCAGCTTAATACATGGTATGTTTTCAATGTTTCATCATGCATGACTGTCAGTATTCACTGTTATATTTCCTGTTCTTGGAGTTGTATGCTTCTTGGATACATTTACTTACATGTAAGTTAATAAGTTCCTCGAAATAAACTGTGAGGCATCACTAAAATCATTTAAATATGATAGCATATCGACAAGATGATTTTCTTTTTTTTTTTTCCTTTTCCTCTTACATGATCTTTATGGTTTTTGCGTAACGTTTTATACTAAATGGCCTTTTTTTCTGCAGGAAAAAGGTCTACCTTTACCAAAATTTGGAGAATGGGACGTGAATGATCCAGCATCTGCTGAGGGGTTCACTGTCATATTTAACAAAGCTAGGAATGAGAAAAAGACAGGTGTCAAGCCTGACTCGTCTCCACTAAAGGATGAATCCACTTATAAGCCCCCTTCAACTCTAGGAGGAAAGCCTCACTCTGTAAGTTATTTTGCCGTTTGCCTGATAATTTATATGTGATCCCTTATGTAGATCACTTTGATTCTGTAAAGTTGTTTGAAGCTTCGACTTCATCATATCATTCATGTTGAAGTTGCTTTAGTTATGAATTATGATTAGCTCAACCAAAAGTTGATAAACTTGGTTGACAATGTTGATTATTGAATTTGCATGAATAAATTTGCCATTGTGAAGGTTGACTAACAAAAAGGTAAAAGAAAGTTCTGATGAAAACTAACAGAAAACACGGAGCACATTTTTTTTCTTGTATCTGCAACACTCATGGAAAAATACAAGTCTCACACTTATTGTGGGGAGTTTTATGATTTGCAGAAGAACTGGTTTTGCTGCATGAAGTGAAGTCAGCTGCCGAAGCATAAGCAGCATGCAGGGAATAAAGTAACATTGTATTAGCTTTCTGTCCAAACCAATATTCTCTTCGGGTTGAGCTGTTATAGATCGTGC